ATAAGCCAAACAAAAAATATGATCTTGAGTCACCCAGGAACTGACAAACATAACAGGTGTACGTGTGCATTGCTGGCATTCCATAAAAGGGAACAACTGGTTTAGAAATTTACTGGTGCAACTTCAATCTACTTTGCCCTCATGGACTGAAAGTCCATGGTTCAAATTCTGTCTACAGTTTCCATTTAAAACACCAGCAGCCAAATCTTAAAGGTTAATGTGCAGCTTTCAATAGTGAAACCCAGTGCCAAGCTTAAGTATTTCTGTACGTGTACCAGGTATTTGTGTCTATTGAAAACTAAGTAAGTCTTGTCCACTCCTTTGCACTATATCCATTGTCATAATATGCCAGGATTATTATTTTCACAATTTCCCCCTCATTTCCCAGTGTTTTTACTGTCTAGTAGTTATTCTGTATTTTTGAAAGGGAGGTGGAATAAGTACTAAAAACTAGACACAAGAAGCACTCTAATTACTTCCTTAGACAACTGTTTCTTATATAGGGACTGGATGCCTGGAGCACTTCCATTTTTTTTTTTCCCTGACTACAGAAAGACTTCTTTTTCTTCTTACCCTCTTCTTACTCCTTCCCAGCTCCCTTGATTTGTATCTTAGGTTTAGGCTGACCACAGAGAGGCAAAAAAAGCACAAGCAAAGGATCAAAGAGATTGCTACGATTTCAGGCAGTGGGTGGCATAACTGATTTCCAGTTTTAGCTCAACTCCCCTAATTACCTTTAGTATCTACATGAAGCCAGCACATTTTTATTAAGATTTTCAAACTTGTAAAAAAGTTTCAAAAATAGTGCAGAGTTCCCTTATATCCTTTATCTAGTTTCTTCTAAAGTCAACATCTCATAAAATTAAAATACAATTATAAACCAAGAAATTAACATTGGTACAAGTCAATTAACTAAACTAGAGACTATCTGAATTTCACAAGTTTCTCCACTAATGTCCCTTTTCTGTTCCATGGTCCAATCTGGGATTCCCCCACTGCATTTAGTTGTTAATTCTCCTGAGTCTCCAATCTGTGACAGTTTCTGTCTTTGTCTTTTGTGACCTTTCTTGGTCTTTGTGACCTTGATATGTTTGAAAAGTACTGGTCAGTTATTTTGTAGAATGACCCTCAATTTAGGTTTGTATAATATTTTCTCATGAGTAGCAAGATAAAGAGCATTGTTGGCAAGAATAACACCACAGAAATAATGTTGTGTCCTTCTAAGTGTATCATATCATTGGGTTCATGATGTCCACATGTCTTATTACTGGTGATGTTAACCTCAATCAGCTGGTTAACATGGTATCTCCATTGTCAAGTTACTATTTTTCCTTTGCAGCTAATAATTTTCTTGGTGAGGTACTCTGAGACTATGCAAATATCCTGATTTTCCTCAAACTTTCACCCACTAGCATCACAGGTAGATTCTGTCTACAGTAATTACTATGGTGCTGTTTGTGTAATAGTGATTTTTCTACTTCCTTTTTGCCATGCTTACTCATCAGAATTCTCCTGTAGGAAAAGAGTTATTCCTTCTCAAACCCTGTTTGTTTATTCAACTATGTCAGTATGGACTCACGGACATTTACTTTACTCTATGGGTTAAAATGCAATACTATCGTTATTCATTTTGTTACTCAAGTTGTCCCAACTTTGGTCACCAGGAGCTCCTTCAAGTTGCTCCTGTGTCCTTTCAACAAGCCCTCAAACTTACTGAGCATTTCCTTAATTTCAAGCACTACAAGATATTCCAGGCTCATCTTGTACTTTCCCTGCCGCAGTCCTGAAATCAAGTAGTTCCCCCCAACCCACAAAAAAAAATCCTGGTTCCTTTTATCAGACGATAGTGTTTAAAAACAAGAGTGGGTGCTTACTGCTACTGGCATTTCACTATCAGGCCAACAATTTGGACAACCACCACTAATATCCATTCCCTAACTAAACTCATTACTTGAAATCATTAGCATATCCTGGGACCTTACTATACATGCAAACTCTTGGGCTCCACCCCAGACCTATGAGACCAGAATCTTTTGAGGGTCTGGTGCAGAAATCTGTGTTCACCAGATGATTCTGTTGCTTGTTATAAAGTTTAAGAAACACAGCTTTAATGAATAAATGTTAGTTTTCTGTCACTATAAACCCTATGTTTACTACATTTAATTAAAAAAAAAGGAAATTTTAGTCTTAATAATGTGTCTTGTGTATAAACCATATTTTTACTCCCACAACTAATAAAACTAAAGGTGAATGCCTCGTCTGTTAAGGCACTAAACACTTTCTTTGTTTTCTTACAATATTTTTTAAAAATATGGTGGTCATGGTAGTTATTAAGTACAAATACTGTTACTCTTCTACAAAGAAGTTGTAAGTCAGCCTCCAGGATCAACGCCTGCCTACATATATGACCTAACATCCATACAGCGAATCTATAAATATGTAACCCTTGCAGCATTGTCTTCTTAAGTCAGACTGCCTAGACTTGAATGACTGCTTCAGCACCCAACTTGGTGAACTCTTCCCTGTTTCCCTGGTTTTCTTAACCACAAAATGGAGTAACACTACCTAGATGAAAGAGGCATTATGAGGAATGAAGAGAGAATGTGCATCACTGATCACTACGGGGCACAAAAGGAGTCTCAGATACTGTTTATTATGTTTAAAATTATTAAGTAAAAGTGCAACTAGACATTTTATTTTTTGTGAAGGGGAAAGCAAGTGGAAACTGCGCTAAAGGAAAAGCTCAGCTGTTTCTTCACTAGTAGATGAGAATAAAAGCAGGACCAGAGAGCTCTATTTATATAATTAAAACCCTCACAAGTTTACAATCCAATGTTTTAAATTCGACTTTTTGCAAAAATGTTGTTATATTTACATTATGTATATATATATTTACATTATATATACCCATGGTCAAGGGCTTAAAGAAGAGTATATAAAAATCAAAACAACATGATCTGTTGAGGTCGTGGAATTTTAGGTGAATATTCTTCCTTTCTATTTTGATTATCAAAACCATGTGCCAAGTCCTTTAATATTAATAAAGAGAAAAGTAGCCCAATTAGCAATAACTGTTTCCATTTGAGTCCTTAAACTATCCCATTTAGTATTCCAAATAACCCTACGAATCCCACTTTAAAAATAAGGAAATGGCCTCAAAGTGATAAAGCAGCCTGCCCAAGTAACAGTAACAGAAGAGAAAACTCAAATGCAGCTGACTCCAAGGTCTATGCTCATAACCAGTGTTGGAGACATCTTTCTTTATTCACAAATGCTTGGTCTGCTGTGCAAAACTTCCGATAAAGTATAATCACTATACTGAATTATCTCTTGTGGCACACAGTAGTAACTGTAAAATATATAGACTATTAACAAAAATTTAACACAATTAAAATACTAAATGCAAAATGAAAAACAGTATAAAGCAGACAAGGCTTCTCTGAGCAAACTTTCCTTCAGAAAATCCAAGTGGCACTTCAGAGAATGTGGATTTCCTTGGCATAGTGTTTAAAATTACTTTCTAGGCAAAAATAAATTATGTACAAGGCAATACACATTATTAAAATACCCAATAATCCATCCTCAAATAATTAGCTACATCCTTAAATTATTTTATTTGTGAATTATAGACGCTCTCAGGCTAGTATTATCGCTACACTAGGAAGAAAAATAAGTGAAATAGAGCTTAAATGAGTCACTTATGGTTACATGATAAACCAGCAGCAAAACTGGTCATCGAGTTCTGGAGTCTGCATTCAGCATAACAAACATGTCTGAGGCGAGGCTCTCACTTTAAGTTTTCATAGCAAATACCAGTGTTTTCAAATTGTTCTAATCCACACAAAGGCTTCCAGGAACAGTTTTAGCTACTCTA